CCCCCCTCACTGTCACTAGTCACCCCCCCCTCACTGTCACTAGTCACCCTCTCCCTCACTCTGTCACTACTCACACCCTCCCTCACTCTGTTACTAGAGTGAGGGGATGACTGGTGACAGAGTGAGGGGATGACTGGTGACAGAGTGAGTTAGGGGGTGACTAGTGACAGAAGGAGGGATGGAGTAGTGACAGAGGGAGGTGGTGACTAATGACAGTCACCACCTCCCTCACTCTGTCACTAGTCACCTCTTCCCTCATTCTGTCACTGATGCCCCCTCACTCTAGTGACGGTGAGGGAAGGGTGGAAGGGTGGGCTGGGCGACTGGGGCCAGTGTGCTTCTTTGGGCTCCTGGTCTGCCTTCCTTCCCTCTGTCACTAGTAACCCCTTCCTTCCCTCTGTCACTAGTCACCCCTTCCCTCACTCTGTCACCTGTCACCCCCTCACTCTGTCACCCCCTCACTCTGCCACCCCCTCACTCTGCCACCCCCTCACTCTGTCACCCCCCTCACTCTGTCACCCCCCTCACTCTGTCACTAGTCACCCCCCTCACTCTGTCACTAGTCACCCCCCTCACTCTGTCAATAGTCACCCCCTCACTCTAGTGACAGAGAGAGGGAGGGGGTGACTAGTGACAGAGAGAGGGAGGGGGTGACTAGTGACAGAGTGAGGGAGGGTGTCACTAGTGTCAGAGTGAGGGAGGGTGTCACTAGTGACAGAGTGAGGGAGGGTGTCACTAGTGACAGAGTGAGGGAGGGTGTCACTAGTGACAGAGTGAGGGAGGGTGTCACTAGTGACAGAGTGAGGGAGGGTGTCACTAGTGACAGAGAGAGGGAGGGGGTGACTAGTGACAGTCACCACCTCCTTCACTCTGTCACTAGTCACCCCCTCCCTCACTCTGTCACTGTGTCACCCCCTCCCTCACTCTGTCACTAATCACCCCTCTGTCCTTAGTGACAGAGTGAGAGAGGGGGTGACTAGTGACAGAGTGAGGGAGGGGGTGACTAGTGACAGAGTGAGAGAGGGGGTGACTAGTGACAGAGTGAGGGAGGGGAGGGGGTGACTAGTGACAGTCACCACCTCCTTCACTCTGTCACTAGTCACCCCCTCCCTCACTCTGTCACTAGAGTGAGGGGGTGACTAGTGACAGAGTGAGGGGGGGACAGAGTGAGGGAAGGGGATGACTGGTGACAGAGTGAGGGAGGGGATGACATGTGACAGAGTGAGGGAGGGCGTGACTAGTGACAGAAGGAGGGAGTAGTGACAGTGAGGGAGGTGGTGACTAGTGACAGTCACCACCTCCCTCACTCTGTCACTAGTCACCCCTTCCTTCCCTCACTGTGCCACTAGTCACCCCTTCCCTCACTCTGCCACTAGTCACCCCTTCCCTCACTCTGTCACTAGTCACCCCCTCACTCTAGTGACAGAGTGAGGGAGTGACAGGTGACAGAGTGAGGGAGTGACAGGTGACAGAGTGAGTGACTAGTGACAGAGTGAGGGAAGGGGTGACTGTCACTAGTCACCCCATCCCTCTGTCACTAGTCACTCCCTCCTAACTGTGTCACCTGCTCCCTCACTCTGTCACTAGTCACCCCTCCCTCACTCTGTCACTAATCACCCCCTCTCTCACTCTGTCACCAGTCATCCCTTCCTTCCCTCACTCTGCCACTAGTCATCCCTTCCCTCACTCTGTCACCAGTCACCCCTTCCTTCCTTCACAATGACAGAGTTAGGGAGGGAGTGACTAGTGACAGAGAGAGGGATGGGGTGACTAGTGACAGAGAGAAGGATGGGGTGACTAGTGAGAGAGGGGGTGATTAGTGACAGAGTGAGGGAGGGGGTGACTAGTGACAGAGGGAGGGGGTAACACAGTGACAGAGTAAGGGGGTGACTAGTGACAGAGTGAGGGAGCGGGTGACACAGTGACAGAGTTAGGGATGGAGTAACTAGTGACAGAGAGAGGGATGGGGTGACTAGTGACAGTCACCCCCCCCCCACTCTGTCACTAGTCACCCCTTCCCTCCCTCACTCTGCCACTAGTCACCCATTCCCTCACTCTGTCACTAGTCTCCCATTCCCTCCCTGTGTCACTAGTCACCCACTCCCTCACTCTGTCACCAGTCACCCCCACTCACTGTGTCTCCCCCTCACTCTGCCACCACTCAACCCCTCCCTCACTCTGCCACCACTCAACCCCTCCCTCACTCTGCCACCAGGTACCCCCTCACTCTGCCACCTGTCACCTTCTCCCTCACACACTCTGTCACCTGTCACATATGCATTCACACAGACACTATATACAAAAAAGCACATGTAGTCATCCAGACATGCACAAGTGCATTCACACAGACTCAAATACAAACATGCATTGATACACAGGTCTTCACAATACACACATCCAAAGGAATGCCGTATTATGAATTACATTTAACATTTATTAAAATGCACATATATTTGGCCTTCAAAGGGCCTGGGATCTAATTTTGCCCGGGGGCCCCAAAGGCTCTCAGTCCGCCCCTGGATGAATCCCTTATGAAATATAAAGGGAGATTAGGGTTCAAACAGTATATCCCCTCAAAGCAGTCTAGGTATGGCATTAAAGTGTACAAACTGTGCGAGAGCGAAAGTAGCTACACATTTGCCTTTCGTGTATACGAGGGGAAAGATACTCAACTGAACCCTCCTGGCTGTCCTGACTCTCTGGGGACAAGTGGGAAACTTGTTTGGGACCTACTGATCCCCTTGTTCAATAAGGGTTACCACCTTTATGTGGACAATTTTTACAGCATTGTCCACTTGTTTAAATTTCTTTATAGTTTGCAGACACTGGCCTGCGGCACTGTAAGAAGAAATGCCAAGGATTTCCCCAGATCTCTCATAGAGGCCAAATTAAAAAAAGGTGAATGCAAAGCTCTGCGCAAAGCTGAACTGCTTGCGCTAAAATTTAAGGACAGGAAGGATGTTCACATGCTAACAACCATCCATAACGAAGGCATGTCAGACGTCACTGTCCGAGGCAGGGTACAGACAAAACTGGTGTGCGTCAGGGCTTATAACAGGCACACGGGGGGTGTTGATTTAGCTGATCAGCTGATGCAGCCATATCTTATCTTAAGAAAGACAAAAGCCTGGTATAAAAAGGTGGCTATCTACCTGTTGCAAGTAGCAACACATAATTCATTTTTACTTTTTATAAAAAATCAATCCAGGAAGAACCACCTATCTTCAATTTCAGCTCAAGCTGATTTCCACAATAATTTATGGAGATGGTCAAGTTCCAACAACGGTGCAAGAGGAGTGTAGACATTTTATTTTTAAGATACCACCAACACCAAAAAAAAGAAACCCCCAGAAACGTTGCCGGGTCTGTTATAAAAAAGGGAAAAGGACAGACACCCCTTTTCACTGTCCTGATTGCCCTACAAAACCTGGACTGTGTATTGGAGCATGTTTTAAGGTCTACCACACAGAAAATACATTTTTATAATACTTGTTCCTGATTTATTTTTTTTGTTTATTTTGAAAGCAGCAAATTTCTGTTAGTCAGTATCCTTCCCCAAATCTCCAGTTAGATTCTTTTTGCAGGAGTTAGTTTACAGATTGCTGCTAACAGAAGTTTTAGTCTCATTTAGTCTGTTTTTATCAGTTTTAGTCTGTTTTTAGTATAAAATAAAAAAAATTGTGTGTTAGTAACTCTGTGTTAGCCAGACTCTGACGCCACTGACACTGCGTCCGATTTTGACCCAGGTCAGTTTTCTGACATGTCATCTGTGTGTGAGCTGGCTGCAAAAGAAGCTGTGCTTTCTCTGCTACGCCGAATGTGGAGGAGGAACAGGTTTCTCCACAGTTAGCTGAGCCCCAAATCACCCCTTTTAGTGCCAACACAGGCATTAATGTCAATGTGGATGACTTCTCCCCTATGCAATATATGGAGCTATTTTTAGGGGATGCCATCTGGGAGGAGATTGCTCCCCAGACTAATTTATATGCTACCCAATTTATTGATACCAATCCAGATAGCTATGCAGTCAGGGAGGAGTGTGCTTGGCATCCCACAGATGTCGCTGAACTTAAAAAATTCTGGGCTTTTACAATTCTCATGGGGATTATAAAGAAGCCATCAATTTGCTCTTACTGGAGCACCAACCCAATCTGTTCTAGTCGAGTGTACTCTCAAACCATGTCTAGAACAAGATTTGAGCTGCTGCTGAGATACTTACATTTCAATGACAATACCCTCTGTCACCCCAGAGATCACACCCAATATGATAGGCTTCATAAAATACATCCACTGGTAGACCATCTTCAGCACAAATTTACTGAAGTTTATACTCCTCAAAAAAATGTATCTATTGATGAATCGTTAATGAAATATAAAGGGAGATTAGGATTCAAACAATACATCCTCTCAAAGCGCTTTAGGTATGGCGTAAAATTCTACAAAGTGTGCGAGAGCGAAAGTGGCTATACATTTGCCTTTCTTATATATGAGGGGAAAGATGGTCAACTGGACCCTCCTGGCTGTACTGACTCTCTGGGGACAAGCGGGAAACTTGTTTTTGACTTACTGATCCCCTTGTTCAATAAGGGTTACCACCTTTTATGTGGACAATTTTTATAGCATTGTCCGTTTGTTTCAAACTCTTTAGGGTTTCTAGATACTGGCCTGTGGCAGTGTGAGAAGATATGCCAAGGATTTCCCCAGACCTTTTATAGAGGCCAAATTAAAAAAAAGTGAATGTAAAGGTCTGCACAAAGCTAAAGTGCTTGCAATAAAATTTAAGGACAGGAAGGATGTTAATATACTAACCAATATACTAATCCATGACGAAAGCATGTCAGACGTCACTGTCCGAGGCAGAGTACAGACCTGTTTGCATCAGGGCTTATAAAATGCACATGAGGGTGTTGATTTGGCTGATCAGCTGATGCAGCCATATCTTATCTTAAGAAAGACAAAAGCCTGGTATAAAAAGGTGGCCATCTACCTGATGCAAGTAGCAATACATAATTCATTTTTACTCTTTAAAAAAATGAATCCAGAAAAAACCACCTTTCTCCAATTTTAGTTCAAGCTGATTTCCACAATAATTTATGGAGATGGTCAAGTTCCAACAACCGTGCCAGAGGAGTCCAGACATTTTATTTTTAAGATACCGCCAACTGCAAAAAAAACAAATCCCTTGAAATGTTGCTGGGTCTGTTATAAAAAAGGGAAAAGGACAGACACCCCTTTGCACTTTTTTTTTCTTTTGAAAGCAGCAAATTTTAGTTGGTCAGTTTCCTTCCCCCCAAATCTCCAATTAGATTCTTTTTGCAGGAGTTAGTTTAGAGAATGCTGCTAAAGGTGCATTTGATACCTGCACATTTGGTTAAAAAAGTTTTATGGTAGTAACATATAACTGGCTGGCCAAAACCAGATGGCGTGTGCATAAAAAGCAGAATTAAAAAATTACCACCATGCACGTTATCTGAAATTTGTTTAGCACAATGGTTGGGGGAAGGATGTGAAAACACCTCATATACAATGCCCTGGAATGTCTACTTTATAAAAATATACACTTTCATGATGTTAACATTAACGGGGGGATGCAAAAATATGCCAAACTGAAGATAGGCCAAGCATACCTATATATCAAGTTGAAAAACTGATATGTACAAGTCTCAATTGTGGCCTTTTAGCCCCCAAAAAACCCAGCAAGCCTATGCATGGGTGGTATCACTGTACTCAGGAGATGTTGCTGAACACATATTGGCGTGTTGTTTGGCAGTGACACATAACACGATTTGTTAATTCATGCCTAAAGTACAATGTGTGTGAAAAAAAAACACACAAAAAATGACTAGCTAAATGTTTGACAAAGTCTGGTGGTAGAATTAGTGCATGGAAAGTGTTAAAAAACCACCATTTGAAATACCCTAGGGTGTCTACTTTCCAAAAATATATGGTTTGGTGGGGATAAAATACATTGGCCGGCCTTACAAATGTCCCAAATAGGACATGTGCGCAGGTTGACAACATGTCAAAATTCCAAGTTAAAAAATGGATATGCGCACCTGCCAAATGTGGCCTTTTATCCCCCAACCAATCCGACAATCCTATGCATGGGTGGTATCACTGTACTCAGGAGATGTTGCTGAACACATATTGGCGTGTTGTTTGGCAGTGACACATAACACGATTTGTTAATTCATGCCTAAATTACAATGTGTGTGAAAAAAAACACACAAAAATGACTACCTAAATGTTTGACAATGTCTGGTGGTAGAATTAGTGCATGGAAAGTGTTAAAAAACCACCATTTGAAATACCCTAGGGTGTCTACATTCCAAAAATATATGGTTTGGTGGGGGTAAAATACATTGGCCGGCCTTACAAATGTCCCAAATAGGACATGTGTGCAGGTTGACTACATGTCAAAATTCCAAGTTGAAAAATGGATATGCGCACCTGCCAAATGTGGCCTTTTAGCCCTCAAACAATCCGACAAGCCTATGCATGGGTGGTATCACTGTACTCAGGAGATGTTGCTGAACACATATTGGCATGTTGTTTGGCAGTGACACATAACACAATTTGTTAATTCATGCCTAAAGTACAATGTGTGTGAAAAAAAACACACAAAAAATGACTACCTAAATGTTTGACAATGTCTGGTGGTAGAATTAGTGCATGGAAAGTGTTAAAAAAAACACCATTTGAAATACCCTAGTGTGTCTACTTTCCAAAAATATATGGTTTGGTGGGGGTAAAATACATTGGCCGGCCTTACAAATGTCCCAAATAGGACATGTGCGCAGGTTGACAACATGTCAAAATTCCAAGTTGAAAAATGGATATGCGCACCTGCCAAAAGTGGCCTTTTAGCTGCCAAACAACTCAACAAGCCTATGCATGGGTGGTATCACTGTACTCGAGAGATGTTGCTGAACATATATTAGTGTGTTTTTTGGAAGGAAGACATAACAGGATCTGTAAGTTTATACCTGGATTGCAATGTATGTGAAAAAAAACAAAACTACCTATGCAAAGTTTGGCAAAGACTGGTGGTAAAATGGCTGCATAGAAAGTGTCAAAATATCCTTAGATGAATACCCTGGGTTGTCTAC